AATATTGAAGTCTATGTATTGGACTAACTATGTATAAGCTTTGTATAGTATATGTATAAGGTAGTGATTTTAAGAAATTATAGTGATTTAATGAATTTGATGATGTTTGGTGATTTGTTAGTAAATAATTGAAGAGATGAAAAGTTAAAGAAATAGAGAGGCAAGAATAAATATAGAAGTTAGGGGAATTACGTGGTAGATTTGTAGTAGTTTAATTGTTAGATTTTAATTTGAGTTATTATACCGTTATTTCAGATAGTGGCATGAAAGTTTGGAAATGCTAGTCAATTTAATCGGATTGCTGTCCATACATACATCTATGAGTGGAAAAAACTTATATATTTTCAAATAGTAATAAGATACTTATACTATTACATTACGTTTGATTAAGTGAATTATTTGTTTAATTAAATAATTAATATGGAAAGATTCTTTCACTACGATATATGTGGAATTTAAAGTTTAGATATGGATTATTTGTGAGTTGAAATGTGAGACATATGTGATTTGAGACCGACCAGAAAAGTATCCGTGATTATAAACTTCTTCTAGTTCACAGAGGGGCATTGGCCGTATTCTATACTACACTGAGGGGTCGACTGGAGATGAAGGGATCGTGACAGTGTACATATAATTCACTGAGGGGCCTTGACCGTGTTTTAAAATTGAGTATCAGATGTTTTTGAGACCCACTTTCGTACATAGAGAGGGCCAAAGGCTCGAGGCAAAAGTGGTTGACCCGAGAGGCGGATTTCAAATTTTAGTCAGATGATACATTTTTGGTGGATCACATGTGATGTGATGAGATAATGGTATAAATATCAGCTGATAACTACATCGTGGATATAAGATGATATTTATGGAGTTATGAGAATGTCTCATTTTTATTGGCTATAAATTTGATAAGGCTATCATGTGAATTATTAAACGATATGAACTTGATGTCTATGTATGAGAAAAATGTTTAAATGAGAAAGTATAATTATTTTCGAACTCTTCCACTCACTGAGCTATAAACTCATATTTTTTCACGATTTTTTTTTACAGGTAGTATTGGTCCCTAGTAGCTTGAGGAGCCTGATGGTTTTAGAATTAAAACCCCACAACATATTGAGTGATACAATTCATTTTGGTAAAATATGAAGTAATTATTTCGAGCCCATTACATTATATTTTTCATAAATATTTGATTTTGGTGCATATTTTGTAGTAAGTCATAGTTAGCCTTGATGATGGATTTGACATCTAGTCAGATCAGCGCACGTCACGTTCCTAGTTCATTAGAGTGATTCGGGACGGGATGTGTCATCTAGGGTAAACACAAGCTAGAATTTATTGCTGCATTTCCTTCAAGAATCAGAGTATGCATGATTTTCAACGACAAAAATCTCTCTAAAGAATAACTAAAATTATTTTGTTTGGAGCCTGACAATTTTTGATGTTTGATTTATGACTAAGCCATTACTAGTTTGCTGCTATTCTTATTTTGAAAGCAACTCAAGTATATCTTTTTTTTTTGTTTCTGAGTTCAAAGAACATGTACAAAGACAAGTTGAAATAAAATTCTTATTGAACCACTGTTTGACAACCATTAAAACAAATTTTATTTTTTCTTTTTTTTCCTCTCAAACTCATTTTTTACCACACATTCTCACAATAAAATATTCTGCACGTGAATCCAAATTTTTTCCCTACTTTTTAACCACACATTCTTCAAAAAATCATTATTCTAAAAATCATTTTCCTCCAAAACTCTTTTTAATGGTTGTCAAACAGGGGCTAATTACGCTGTTCTTTCTGTGGAGCGTCACCATTCACATTGACAAAGTCCATTTTGCGTCTCTTCATATTAGCAATAAACAATCTTGGGATTGGTGTGAAAATAGTTCATTTGACTATTAATAGGTACTCTTTAGCAAATGATCATAGAATCCCATTGCAAGTGATGCTTTCTTAACAGCTATTGCCCATTTTCCATTTTTCTAATGTTCATCAGTTCTTCGGGACACTGTCAATCTAATGTCGTGAAGAAGTTTGCTTGAGCAGGCTTTTAATAATGTAATTTTATTGTATCTAAAGCTGTTTGGGCATTTTTTCATTGACGCCAAAATTTAGGAACTACAGGTAGCTGTAAAAGCGGAAGAGTTTTGTGGGGGATTCATGTTTTTGTGATATAAACTCTGATCATTTTCTTTTGTTTCAAATTGTTGACTGAATTGTTCTTTGGGAAAATGCTGGGATTGATAGTGGCTTAAGCTGATGTATCTAGGGATGGCAATTCGAACCGTTAAAACCGAAAAACGCGGTTAATCGAATCGAATGGGGCGAAAAAATTCGAATCGATAGTGCAATGAGGCAGATATGGTATTTGATTTTAATGAACCGGTTTGGGGTGGGTCGAATATGATATTTACGCCATCGCACCGAACCGAACCGATTAACAGTTACAAAAAAATAATAAATTAATAATAATTGGGCTTTTCATAATTTTTTGATTTTTTCTATGTTAATTACTTAATTTCTTTGGCCCAAAATTTTTGGTCCATTAACAAATTAAATTTAAACCCAAGTACCCAACTCTGAACCCTAACAGTCTAACACAAAGGCACAAACGTTTTATTGGAAAATTGGAATCTCAGCTCCTGCCTTTTGGGTCTGCCGAGTGCCGACTGTTGTCTAGTCCGCCTCTGCCCGTTTGCATTATTTTCTTCTCCTTCGACCTTCAGGCTTCTGCCACTGGTCAGCTTCTCATCTGATAATTTGTATTTGTCTATTTGAATTTGTTGTGAATTTCGCACAAGATTTGGCCAAAGTATATCTAGAATTTTCAATTTTTTACAATTGGTGGTTGCTTTAGAGATAATTACTTTAATTTCTCTCATTTTTGATGACTTTTGGCCTAAACAACACATAAACAAAAAAATTGAATTCTTTAATTATAGAAACCAAAATTTGGTGACGAGGATGTAGACGAAGAAGTACATTTTTTTGTTTAAATCTTCTGGTTAAAAACATTATGGATTATTGATTTATTACTCTACTTACATTTCTTATATATTATAGAGGAATCAACTTTGAGTTTTGACGTATGCTAGAAAGAGTTATGGGGAAGAATGAATATTGAATATGAATTGAGGTTGGAGCTTTTTGAGTTATTGAATATTGTTTGTAAAATTTGGATTTTGTATTTGAGAATTGTGATATTTTTTTATTTTCATTTGAGATGTTGTTTGCTACATTGATTTAGTATCATGTTTTTGTTTTCCTTGAGTTTTTTCATAAATTTTTCTTTTTATTCGACGGATGGACCAATTAAAAATAATTTATTTTCGTGGTTATTAATGACCTGAACCGAACCGAACCGAACCGAACCGAGATACGAACCGAACCGACGTTCGTGGTTATGATGTGGTTATGGTATGACCAAAACATTGGTGGTTCGGTGATGGTCGACCCCGAACCGAACCGTTTCCATCTCTAGATTTATCTGATAGAAGTGAAAGGGAAGCGGACTATTGGTTATATGGAGTACAGAGCAGAACCACGAGTTAAAAAACGAACACGTGAACCCTCCATTTGTTCAAGCTAAAGGTAGCCTAGAACTACTCGAGTAGGAATACAAGCATGCAGTTATTGATTATTTAACATCAAATTCTCCTAATTGCTGTTGTCTGGAGCATCACTTGAGTTGATCTACTGACTGATTCCCGAGCACGTTCAGAGACAAGCCAGTATGAGTTTTCCACATCCTGCTGGGACGTGATTATTGCTACAACATATTGTATTTGTAGTCTATTATGATAAGGTGTTTTTGCCCCCATTTGGTTTTTGACGCCTCCAAAATGTGTTAGTATGTATAATGGTTGTTCGGGTTAACTGGGAAGTTGGAATGTATAGTATGTTGTTCGTTGAGCAAAACGAGTTTTCATCGCTTCTTTTTATTCTTTTTGGTGGAATGTAGTACAAAAAATTGTGTTGTCAAACAGAGCATATTTCGAGGGGTTCTGTGTAGTTTTCCCTGTTTGCATTATTTATACTGTGTAAAGTTGTAGCTAAATTTCAAGAATTTCCCTATTCCTTTCCATGTACATATTTAACCCTTGTTTGGTGGCCATTATTTTCCCCAAAAAAGGAAAAAAAAAAAACAAAAACAAAAGTTTTGAATAGTGATTTTTAAGAGAATCTATGGTTAAAAAGTGAATTTTTTTTTATTTACGTGCAAAATATTTTATTATGTGAATGTGGGTAAAAATGAATATGTAGAATAAAGAGATTTGAAATAATGATTGGGGCTTAATGTCTAATAAAATGCTGATGTTATGATTGCAAAATGTTGTGCTTGGGGACACACAAAGAGTTCTGAGCATGGTTTGTTCGACTAAATTACCACTAATATTTAAACATGATTTCTTTCTGAAATTTTTAGGGTCATGACATGGTTAGATGATTTTGNTTTGTTCGACTAAATTACCACTAATATTTAAACATGATTTCTTTCTGAAATTTTTAGGGTCATGACATGGTTAGATGATTTTGGTAAGACACGTCAGATTGCTCTCAATTTTTATTGTTGACGTACAATATGAAGTTAAATTTAGTGACAGAGAGCTATCAAAATGATTTAACACTGAAAGTAAATAGAAATTCAGTAATCTAATTGAGACAAATTAAAGTTGGCTCACACAATTGAGATTTCATTGTAAGTAAGTTGCACAAAGACTATGCCATATTCCCAATGGTATCCCTGGAGAAATGTGTGCATTTAAAAGATCTTTGATATTGTGTCCAATCTTGAAATTCGTTTGATACATATCAAATGACCAGAAATGAAATTAACACTCAAATATCAACACAATCAACTTAAAAAATCGAATATCAGAACCAAAGATCATTTAACTTCAATGTCGAAAAATGCGCAGTTACAACAATGGTTCTCTCTTAATAGATTGCAAGGATAAGAGATAAGCAACACTAAATCTCATGTACATGGAAAGTCTCAACTCGCTAAGCCAATTTTGTGACCTCGTGAATCGCATTTGCCACGTAACCAATGTTGCCCGTAGTGACTCCAGCCATACTGCGTTAACGTTGCATATTGGCAAATTTGCACAAATAATAAAAAGGTAAAAATAGAAAATTTAGCAAAAGATAGATTACCTAATACGGCCATTACGAGTCATGTAAATGTGAAATTCCTTTGTCAAGCGATCAACTTGTTCAGGGGTCATCCCACTATCGCAAAACATGCCAATCTGTTTGCAATAATAGAAAATGATTGTAGAATTCATATTGAGGGTATTTCAAGAATTTACGCAAACAGAATAAAAACTAGTGATTGATAAGTTGCAAAACTTTCTTGGTTATGTGCTCCCACGGAAGAGGCGAACCTAACTTTTCAAGGTTCTCTCCAAAAGCACTTCTCATTCCAATGATGCGATCAGCCATTCCCTGAAGGAAGAACTTTCTGTTAGTGCTT